AAGCCAGAAGTGGTGCTGTGGCTCAAGTGGTAGAGCGCTAGCCTTGAGCTGAAGAGCTGAGGGACAGCACTCAGGCCCAGAGTTCAGGCCCCACTACTGGACCCAAAAAAAAAAAAAAAAAAGAACTTGTGGGAGGCTGGGCACCAGTGACTCATGCCTGTAATTGTAGCTACCCAAGAGGGTAAGATCTGAGGATCATGGTTCAAAGCCAGCCTGGGCAGGAAAGTCCATAAGACTTGAGCAAAAAAAAAGCTGAGAATCTGAGGTCCTGAATTCAAATTACAGTACACACACGCACAAGAAGAACCTGCAAGAAGGAACTGGGGGGTATAGTTTAAGTGGTAGAGTACAGGCCTAGCATTTGTGATACCTTAAGGTCAAATCTCAGTATCATCACCAAACAACTGCAGGAAACTGGGAGTTGGTGGCTCCCATCTATAACCTAGCTACTGGGGAGGCTGAGATCAGAAGGATCCCTGTTGCAGGACAGCCTGGACAAAAAGTTCACAAGACCCCATCTCAACCAATAAAAACCAAGCATGGTGGCTATCACCTGTCATTACAAGTACTCAAGGGATCACACTCAGGCCAAAAAAAAAAAAGGTTCTGAAAATAAGAAAAGCAAAAAGGCTGGGGCGTGTGTGGCTCAAGTAGCAGAACTCAAGCCTTGCAAGTGCTAGACTGAGTTCAAACCCTAGTACCAAGGGGAAAAAACATTGGCAGAAGTTGCCTAACTGCTGAAGCCCACAAGGTCTCTGGAAATCCTCTATTTGCCTCTGTCCTCACATCTGCAAAGTGGACATAATCGGATTGTAAAGATAATTGCATAAAGCATATGCCATTTCTCTCAGAGAACAGAAGGGGGAAACATAGGCAGTGGAAGTGTTCCCAAGGAGTGTCAGCAAAATCGTGTAGATCTAGAAGGTCAGAGTTGACAGGATGCTTTGAGAACATGAAGTCCCCTCCCCCCATAGGACAGAGGGGAGACTGAACCAAGAGAGAGAAGGGAACTGGCCGAAGGCCATGTAGTGGGTCAGTGGGGTAGCATGGCCTGGAGGTCATCTCTTATTCCCCAGGGCCAGTGTTGGCTAGCTGCTGGTAAGCAGTACTAATTAGGTCCTAAGGTATCCTCACCTACCACGGGAGAATTGTAGCTGAATACCCAAGAACCCAAACGGAGAACTGAGGAAGCAAAGCCCCAGCGGCCTCCAGCAGCCTCAGAAACTCTAGCTAGCTCCCTCTCATTACAGGCGCTTGAAGGAGGTGAAAATTAGAGGCCCTAAGACTGGAAGGTAGCAGTGTTGCTTCGGTAAAGTGTGATTTTACACCTTCTCGGGGACAGAGGACAAAGTGGTCCACGAGAGGGAAACCTGAGGAGGAACTGAGTCCAGGAACGGGATACCCAAAGCGGTACCGGCAAGGCGAGTCCGAACACGTGATCGCCTTGGGAGAACCTTCCCAAGGACACTTAGGGCGGTGACACCCGGCCTCCGAGGCCCACTCTCCGGATCCCTATGGAGCCCCTGCCACCCGACACAGACCAGGGCCGACTTGAATCAATTCCCTCCCCACCCCCCCGCCCCTCACGGACATCGGAGGTGGCCAATGAACCCGGCGCTCATCATTCTGCCCGCCCCTCCCGGAGACCGCAACCAATGGAACTCCAAGCTGTTTCAGGAGCTTCTGCCGCGCCCGGGCCACAATGGGGTGCAAAGTTTCTCGGCGGTGACTTCAGCTGTCCTGCACCTGCTCCCCTACTCACCTCCCAAGGACGGCAGAACAGGGATGGCCTGAGCACTGCCTTTGCAGCGCCGCTGATGGCAGTTGCCACCTTGAGCGCCATGACGGAAAGTGACAGCAGCAGCAGATCCCAACCTGAAGACACTGTTCTCGCGAGAGTTCGACGAAGGGAGCAATTCAAGAGGAAGGCGTGAGCCCTGTATTGAGCACGCGCACAGCGGCGCCGGTTCCCACGCCCCTTTCCGGTGTTTCGAGTGTCGTGGCCGCCATCTTGTGGGGGGAGCGCAGCCGGCAGTACCCCTGGCTCGGGGAGGGGACACGTCAGTGCCGCCAGCAACGTCACGCAGTCCAGCCTAGCCCGCCGACACGCGATTGGCTGCTGCGGCCGCTTACGCGTCGCGCTTCCTCGTCTGCTCCGCGTGTTCAGGGTAGCTTGCTCTCTTTTCCCATCGGCAGAGAAGAGGCGATGGCGGCGATGGCATCTCTCGGCGCCCTGGCGCTACTCCTGCTGTCCGGCCTCTCTTGCTGCTCAGGTAGCGGCCTGGCCGGAGCTTGCTTCTGGCGAGCGTCTGTCCCGCGGCAGGTGGTGCTGGGGGGTGGGGGTGGGGGGAGAGGAAGGGGTGCGGGCGAGGTGGGGATGTGGACATTACCGGGGCCTGTCGCTGCGGGGCGCGGCGACCAAAGCACCACACACGTTTGCCCACCCACCAGGCTGCTGGCAGAAGCCGCTAAGCCTTTTTTTCTCTCTTTTGCTCGCGGGAGAGTCCCAAATCCTGCACTGTGTTCCCGGCCACCCGACTCTTGTCGGGAAGATGACACGTCCCTGCTTCTCCCGCTCCCTGCCTCAGTGGTAGTTGGGACAGGAGCAAAACTCCACAGCGCTGAGCAGTCGCTGGGAGAGACGGGACTGCCAGGGAGGAGCCAGTGCGGGCCAGGCGAAGCTTCCCCAGCAAACTGAGAGAGAAGGGAGAGAGGGCAAAGACTGTCCCAGCAGCGGGAGACAGCATGGCAAGTTAGATAGGATGGCCGAAGAAGTGAGCCGGGGCCTTGAGTGCCAGGCCAGAGACTGGTGAGGTGATTTTCCTAGTGTGTCCAGAGTTTGCAGTGAGCCACGGTCCCATTGATTTATATTCATGTTATCTTCTTAACACCTGGTGGCGGAGTTGAGCTCAGCCTGCAGTGTTGGAAGTGTTTGGGAGGTTGCGAAAGCCGGCACATCGGGTCTGAGGGCCTGAGTTGGAGCTGCTGTACTAAAGGCCACACTTCCCACACTCTCTATCCCCAGGCTGTAACCAGGGCTAGCTTGAAAGGACCAGCCTGGCTGTAAAACCTGGCCAGGAGCCCCTCCTTATCCACAGGAAAAAGACTGCAACTTAGCTGGGCGGAGAAGCCTGCAGAATCTGAGTCCTGAGAATGACTTCCTACTCCCATTCCCAGGCATCTTCCTTGGGCCACACAGACCCAAAGTCTTATCTGACTTCCTCAAACAGTCACTCTAGCCAGACATCCCATTTGGAGAGCAATTGGTTGAGAACTTTCCCACTTAAAGTAGTGTGGGATGGTTACAGCTTTCTTGGGGCTGCCTAGTTTACTGAGACATGTTGTGTACTCGGATCCAGAGCCTCTTTTATTGGTGCCTTTTGGGGAACACTAGGGCCAGCCTTGACCTTGGCTGATGCAGAGACCCTTTTCATCATCTTGAAACAGGCATTGCCAGCACACAGTTTGAGGCTGGCTTGTCCCTCTTGGCTTCTGGGGTGCACAGATCCGAGTCATACAGTGAATCCACTTCCTGTGTTGCCCAGACACATATTCTTTTCCCTGCTGTTGCATTGAAGTCCACCTCTGTAGAGCCTTCCTGCCTTTTCTGGGCCTGTTCATGGCCAGTACACCCTCCCTTTCCACTGTACTTGAGTGCTGGGATTTCACTCCCAGACCCCTCCTGGCTGGAGCAGAAGGACCTATGCATATTGTCAACTGATTTGTTGTGGAAGGGAGAGTCCAGGCCTGCCCTTTCTGTCCTCAACCCAGCATTCACACGAGTTGGCCTTGCCTCTTCTCCACAGCAGAGGCCTGCTTGGAGCCCCAGATCACCCCTTCCTACTATACTACTTCGGACGCAGTCATTTCCACTGAGACGGTCTTCATTGTAGAGATCTCCCTGACATGCAAGAACAGGGTACAGGTGAGGAGGTGGGATTTCAGCTGGGAGTATGCAGGGAATTGGGAAACAGTGCCCCTCACTGGCAATCAACAATCTGACCTTAGGATGCGGTAACAGAACAAGGCTTCCCATTCATAGGGAGCAAGAGTATTTTCCTGACATGCTTTGCCTGTGTTCAGTAGCATTGGGTAGACACCCCACTGTTTCCGGAATGAATGTCTGGAACTTGAGAAAGGACTGGGCCTAAACTCCAGGCCCCTAATTCCTTTTCTGATATACTTTGCCAGAGTATGCCTCCATGTGAATATTTTGTAAACAACTTTGAGATTGAGGAGCTCTGACCCATCTTCCCAAAAGTCCTTTGCACTATTTAGGTAAGGGTCTCTTGGGGAGCTTATTCAGCCACCAACTCTAGCACCTCCCTTGTGAGCTCTGAGAAATAATGAAGGCCTTTCTAGCATCCCACCTGTTCATAGTTAACACCCTGGTCATTAGGCCAGCATAGGCTATAATAGGGAGTGGGGGCTTATCTCCCCAAGGGAGGCAGATGGGGAAAGATACGGACTCTATCAGTAACTTGGGTCTGGGTTATTGTTGGCCTATTCCTGTGGTTACTTTTTGGTGAGCCATGTCCAGAAAAGGTTGTGACTCCCTTTGTTCTTCCCCTAAACCCAGAACATGGCTCTTTATGCTGATGTCAGTGGAAAACAGTTTCCCGTGACCCGGGGTCAGGATGTAGGCCGTTACCAGGTAAGAATGCCAAGTCCAGGGTTGGGGACGGCTACCACCTCCTGCTTGTCATTAGAACTTGATGCAGGGTCAGGATTCCAGGACTTGGGGCCTGCTTGGAGAACTAGTGTGCCAGCACTGGCAAGGCGGTCGCTCCTGTGTCCACTCTGCCCACTCCCCGCTAAACTCTACCAACCAGGTGTCCTGGAGCCTGGACCACAAGAACGCCCACGCAGGTACCTATGAGGTCAGATTCTTCGATGAGGAGTCCTATAGCCTCTTAAGGAAGGTGAGTGTCATCTGGATCCCTTCCCAAGTCCCCAGTAACACAAGGCATGCCTGTAACCTTTCTGTCCCTTACTGGAGCTTCACTCCACTAGCATCCTTACATGTGTGGGGCAGGATGGGCAAAGTAAGTACCTTCCCGTGCTATTGCCCCGCCTGTCCCTTCTTTCTTGCCTGTTTTCCCCCTTTGTTCTTCCATGACTCGGGCCAGTACTCCCACCACTCCTACCCCTCTCTACCTCATCTGGCCAGTCTACTGAGCCCTTCTTGATCCCAGCACCTCCCTTCCAGGCTCAGAGAAATAATGAAGACATTTCCATCATCTCGCCCCTTTTCACAGTCAGTGTGGACCATAGGGTAAGTAGTCTCATTATGGGAACATGGCCCACTTCATCATTTGGATTTTTGAGTTGGGGAGTTGGGCCTGAGGGAAGCCCCCCACCCCGTCCCTCATCCCCCAGAGCCTTGCTCTACCTACTTGACTGGCATCGGCCAGTATGTGTCTTGATGCCCAGAAAACAAGCAACTAAAGTTGGCTCAACCATCACTTGTCAGTCCCCTGACTGAGCTGCCTTCCACATGGTCCCTTTCCTTGCAGGGCACATGGAATGGGCCCTGGGTATCTACCGAGGTGCTGGCTGCAGCAATAGGCCTGGTGATCTACTACCTGGCTTTCAGCGCAAAGAGTCACATCCAGGCCTGAGCACAGCACCCCCAGCCCTCCTTTGCTTCTTTCAATAAACATCACTGCTCTTGGCTTGCCATTGCCCCGCCTTGTCCGCCTTCCCCGGGCCACACCTTCCCGTGTCCACCTTCTCTGAGTCCCTGTCCTGGTTGCATGGTTTGGGCCCAGGGCCATCCACACCTCTTCAGCAAAGACTTTTTCACCCATGCCTCATGTAGTCCTTGTGGCAGAGCTGGGTCACCACCTTCTTAGGGCCAGCAGGGGGCCCTGTGACTCAGGTGTGCCTTGGGCTGGAGGGCAGGAACGGAAGGCCCTTCCTTCCTTCGTTTCATATCTAGCTGTCAGCATCACAAGTCCTCACCATCATCTTTGTCTTTGGGTTTTTGTTTTTTTGCTGGTTGTGGGGTCTGAACTCTGAGGTGCTGTCCCTCAGCTCAAGGCTAGCACTCTAGCTACTTGAGCCACAGTGCCACTTCTGGCCTTTTCTGCTTATGTGGTGCTGAGGAATGGAATCCAGGGCCTCATGCAGGCAAGGCAAGCGCTCTACCACTGAGCCACCTCCCCAGCCCCTTCTAATCATCTTTGTGATGGCTCATGTATAGTTGTGTAAATGACCCCAGGCAGACATCCCTGCACCCACTCACACTCAAGCTCACCCCAGCCATCCCACAAGCCCAGTTTCCAGGCTTGGTGCATGCTGGTTCCCAATCACTGGATGATTGGTGTTCTTTCATGCTGTGGATGGTGAGTAGCCTAGTGAGGTCCCTAGGGTCCAAAGGGGCCGGGTGCAAATCCCAAGCAAACCCATCCCAGATGTGTGCCTGGGCTGCCTTACATGCCTCCTTAAGGGTAACAGTGAGCTCATTGGAACCAGCTGACAGCGCCCTCGCAACTGAGCCAAGTAGGAGGGGAAGGGCTGCTCAGTAGACTGCCCTCTTCCCCGCCTGGACTCTGTCCTAAGGCACTGGTAGGGCTGGACGTTTGATGTGAGACTGGCCTGTGTTCACCAGCCCGAGGCTGCAAGGGGTTCCCACCAAGGCCAGGGTGAAGGGTGCCTTGCAAAGTGAGTTGAGAAGACAGGACCAGGCTATACACTAGTTCAGTAGATGAGGCTTCAGGACTCCAAATAAAGCCCAGTGGTGGCAACAGCGGCTGCTCCGTGTTGCTCCTAAGGAGCAAATGACAAGTGACTTCCAACACCTAACTGCTTGTTCTTTGGGGTTCTAATTCCATCATCTGGCCCAATGGCAGTGTGTCAGCGCCTCAATACCCGGTGCCACCAGCCCTCCTGGCACCACCACTCCCTCCCTTAAGCTGAGGCTCAGCCCATTTGGGCCCATACCCTGTGGGCATCCCAGTGGAGGAACAGGGTAGCTACAGACCATCAGAACCCGAACCCCTGGCAACGGGAGGCATGCTGAAGAACAGCTGGTCTTGGGGTTCTTAGAAGTGGGCAGAGCAGTTTAGGGAGGTTGGGTTTACTAGGCCCTCGGCTGGAAAGGCCCCATCAGAAATGAAACGAGGATCCCTAGCACTGTGCTCTGTTCCCTTAAGCCCTTTACTACCCACTGCTGCTCATGGGCAGGGCTGCTGCTGGCTCTTTCTTCCCTCCCAATCAGTGTGGCAATCAGGGATGAAGCTGTACCCTTGTGACCCAGCTTACCCAGCAGCGGAAAGCAGCTTTAGGGAAGGGCCCTATCCATCACTAACTTAGATCTTCACATGTAGGGATAAATGAGCTGACATCTCTTGGCACAGACAAAACTGCACAATGAGAATAAACACAGGGAGGACACGGTTCAACAGAGTAAAAAGGCAGCTTGCTTTATTCTTGAAATGCAGGTGGGGTGGGGACAGCCGGCCTCTAATCTGGGTTTCTCCTAGCTTGAGGGACACCACACAGGTGACAGCAACTGCAACACCAAGAAGAGGCCGGAGATATCTCCCTCGGTTAAGCCCACCTGCCTGTCACTGGGGTCTCTAGGCCAAGATAGCCTTGACATGTAAGGTGGCAGCAGGTAACAGACCCAGGCTCAGTGAATCCTTTTGACATGGAAACTACCCCCTTAATCCCTATAGTCATTTGCTGGGGGAGATGGTGGCCCCCAAAGGTGAACCTTGAACGCCAAGGCACAGGTTCCCCATCCCTCAGGATGGAGGCCACAGGACAGCTGCTTCCCATTCCTCCCACCATTCCCCCCCCCTTCCCTCCCACCCCAGCCCTCCCTTCCTCACCCACCTCCTTCCCAGCCAACCCTCGGTGGGATCCACCTTCCTCAGGCTGCCTGAAGGAGCTGCCAGCCCCCAGAGCAGGTCCACAAAACAGAAAAACAACTATTGGCAAGCACAGAAAGGGGGAAACCACAACATTCAGGGTTGCCTTTTTCTACAAATAACTGCAGCTCCCAGGGGCGGGGGAGAGGCTGCGCTCTTGTGCTTAGGGAAGCCCACTGCCCCCCACTCTGCACCCACTTCCTTGTCTCCAAATAATCACTTCAAGCAGCTGGGTGTGTGTCATCAGCATGTGCACACACGCACACACAATCCACTATAGGTATGCCCTTAATACTTGGTATGAACAACATGGTCTCTTTACTTGGGGAGAAGGAAGCATGTGTTGGAAAGGAAGTGCCCCTTCTTGCGTCTTCTCTGCTTAACAAAGTCCTGTGCACACACACAAAAGACAGGTAGGAGTGGTGCACAAGCACAGCGTGCAAGCACACACACATAGACACACATACTAGATTCTAGGGGAGGGTGAGGGGCAGCCAGGCTCTAGGGACCCTTCAAGGCCTGGGGCCTGGTTGCCTGGATAACTCAGACAGTGGTGACGGAGAGCAGAGGGTTGTAGACGCGCTTGCCATCGGCAGAGCGTGCACCGTGGGCCAGCATCTCCTGGATGGTGATCCAGTTGTCTAGAATCTTCTTGTTTCGCTTCTTCATGGTCTTGCGGTGGCTCAAGGCAATGATGTTGAGCTCGGGCTTGCTGTCACCATTCTGCTGCTCCCTCAAACACTCCAGCCGGCTCTGCATCATAAACTCACGTCGCTTCCGGTGCTCGCGGGCACGGATGAGGTGCTGCTTCCGCTCCTCCTTGCTCCAGTAGCGGCCCATCTTCATCTCGCTCACAGCATCGTCATCGGTGGTCATGCCACTGCGCTCCTCCCGGATCTTCAGGGCCCGGGCCTTCAGCAGCCGATCTCGCACGGGCCGCTTGGCCACGTAGCGGGTGCCGTCGCTGCGCACCTTCACCTTCCACTCCATGCGGGGCACTTCAGCAGCTGCGGCCACCACCCCACCCACCCGAGGGCCCGCGGCCAACCCCAACGAGCCGTGGCCCAGCTCTTCTAAGCCACGTGTCGGGGCCAGCTGCATACAACTGTGGTAGTGCTCGCTCTCCTGGCCCTGGCCCCGGTGGCGCCTCGAGAGGTAAGGGCTGCCTTCAGGGCCCACGCGCTCCAGGGTCACCCCAGACTTGGGACTGCGGCGCACACGCTCCTCTGCATGCTGTCTCCGGCCCCCGTCGGGATCCCGGGAGAGGGATCGGAACTTGGCAGGGCTCCCTGGTGGAGGGGCCGCCTTAGGGTGGCTGGCGACAGGGGGGCCTGCTGGGGTCCGATTCAAGTTGGAGTTAGCAGCCGCGGCTCGCTTCAGAGGGCTCTCGGGCAGGGGCTCCACCAGCAGCGGCGTGCTGCGACAGCTCTCCCCCGTGTTGTAGGCGCTGGTGCTGTCCTTATCTGACTTCTCTGGCAGCTCCGAGATGTCTGAGAGCTCGTGCTTCTTGGGCTCGCTGGCCGCCAGGTCGTACAGGCTCTCTTCCTCCAGCAGCCAGGCCTTCATGCAGCGCTCCCGCAGCTGCTGCATTTTCTGCGCCCGAAGGATGTTGCGGCACTTGAACTCCAGGTGCCGGAGCTCCTCCTCCAGCATCGCCATCTCATGGCCCAGGCTCTCATTGCGGTTGACATCCAAAGCGCTGTTACCACTGGAGGCCCGGGAGAAGAGAATGCCCAGCTGGTTGCCATTCTCCAGGTGGCACTTGATCTCCAGCAGCTCCCGGTAGCGCTCATACTCTTCGTCGGTGAGGCCAGGCACGTCCCCTCCCCCCAGCCCCGCCCCCTCGGCTAGCAGGGAGTCCATGCTGAAGTGGAAGTCCCGGCTCTGCAGCGCATCCCCTTGCAGACCAAACTTGCGTAAACTTCCTGGGGTGTTGGTGGTGCTCGGGGGCTCATCCCCCAGCAGGTCATGTTCTGAACTCTCTTCATTGCGGGTGCTCTCATCGGTCCGGCCTACGCCGCTGTCCAGCTCCTGACTGTTGCTCAGGCCTGCGCCCACATCGGGAGCCCTCTTCTCCTCATTTCCAGGCTAGGGCAGGAAAGACCCCCCAAATCAGTTAGGATCCAGCAAGGATACGACAGGCCTAGCAGGGCTTTCAAGGTCAGTTCCTCTTCTGATCTGAGTTAAGAAGCCCTAGACACCCCCAGACCCTTCTTCCTTTTCTTACTCCCCCTGGAAGCGCTTCCCTACCTGCTGTGCAGGGGGCGACTTCAGCTTCCCCTCAGTCTCAGAGCCAAAGTCGTCTAGGAAGTCATCCCGATCGCTGTCCTTCCACCGTTTTGCTAGCTGCAGAGATGGACTTGAGCTATCCTCACCATTCACCACATCACGGACCTTCCCTATTTCCCCTCCAGGTCCCATACTCTCGGTGAAAGTCAAGCAAACAACCCAAGAAGGAAGGGGCAGGGGGTGTCCCAATCTACTCAGCCACCAGAGACTGGGAGGGGAAACAGGCTCTGTGACCCTCCTCCCCCCTGCCTCCCCCCCCCCACCTCGCTCCTCTACCCCACAACTTCAGGCGCTTGTTATATCTATCTGTGCATCTATCACACGTGCAACTGCCCAGGCAGAAAGCCTGATGCTGGGGACTCCAGGGCGCCCTGCTGGTGGGTATAGATACCCACCTGGCTCTCAGGCCGGGCCACCAGCAGGGAGATATTAGTGTTCTCCTCCTGGCTCAGGATAGCCACCGCCTCTTCTCGGTTCTGGACATCCATGCCGTTAATCTGCAACAGGCCAGGAGAC